AGCGTTCCTTTGTCACCAAGCAGTGTATAAATGAATATCTCACAGAAAACAATCGGTTTTCATGTACCCACTGTATTATCAAAAGTTTACTAGGTCGATGCTTTTTTTAAATAAAGATCGAAATTTTTTGCATTCTTCTCTATATGTTTTAATATCTTTATTAGCAAAATTGACCATTAGAAGGAGGAATTCTCGTGTATGTACTTACATTGAATAATCATAGTCTTCCACGCTATTGTTCCATTAGATATAAATATTAATTTTCTTGACATTCGAGTTTTTTTTTTTCAACTGTTTGTGCACCTTACTTTCCATTTTTTTGAGAATTGAATTTTTTTTGCTACTAAGGACAGCCCCGGACACTCGAATTTTTCCAGCAATACATAATTTTCACCAGATTTTTCTCAAATAATTTAACAAAAATAGCTGATATTATTTTTATTGAGACCTGCAATAAAATGAAAGTAAATATCCACGAGAAAAGTATTATTGAATCAACAACTTAATTTCTTCTATAAATAATAAAAACTGTGTCCTAGCGAATAAGTTGAAATTTTCAGATTACGCTTATTGTACACGTTAAATGTATGACGTCGCGTCAAAATTCTTCGTAAAATCTTGACGTTTTGCTATAAAAGGTACAGTATTGAGCGTTATTTTTGCAATGCATACATTTGAGACAAGTATATAAATTATATATCATTTAATTCTACAAATCCTAAGCTTTTTAAAATGTTTTGAACCGTTCAGGTCTGACAAGCGGCATTTTTAGGCCAATACCGTACTTTGTTCTTTAACACTTGGGTTTTAAGAGTTCATGTTGTCCTTTCATTTGGTCACAGGTATCCCGTGATAAAAAAAGGATAGTTGTTCCTTGAACATTTTCAAGTTTTCTTTGACGAGTAAAAGGGCTCTTTTTTTGGTGGGTTATTAGATTTGCGGGCGGGGTTGTTTTGTTCCTAAGGATTCTCAAATATTTATGAAAGGGAAGTGAGTCTTTAAGAAATAAGTGAAAATAAGAAATAAAAAAAATAAATCATGGGAATGAGATTCCCTGATTCGGAACATAGTTCCAAGGAAATATCGATTCTACTTCCCTCTGTCAGGGGATCCCCTTTGTAAATTAATTTTCTTTCATTTCTTGTGTACTTTATCATACGGCACAGAACTAGTCTCTAAACATGAGAAAACGCTTCTTGAATAAATCGAAACATGGGTATGACTTACGTGGAAATCTCATGTTTTTGAAAATGTTTAGGTTCTTACTAATTTTTAAGATTTGAGTTGGTTAATCCCATACTACAGCTGTCTATGGTTTCAAAGGCGTCTAGTGCATGGAATATAATAAAGTTAACTGTACATGTAGTTTATTATTATGCTTCTTGTCTGTTAGCCTCTAAATGATCAATATACCGACTTTTTCGGAGTACATAAAATTTACTTTTTATATCGAAATACATGTAATGCATGGCTTGATTTTTAAAAAAAATCTTGACATCACCCACATCAGTGACCAAACTCCCGTCCTCCAGATTGTGACCGAGTTGCCACCAAATCAAAAAAAGTTGTATTTATACATATCACTATTTCAATATGTATACACATGTTTAAACTTAGTTTCAAATATACTTTACACTTGTTAAAATAAAAAAAAATTCCACGAGAGACCCATGGTCCACAACGCTTATCTGAGTAACTTTGGCCCTGTTAATGTTGTCCTTCACGTGAATTCTCCCATTGTAATACATATTGTGGCTCATCCCTACCCCAGGGGGTAGGGTCACAATTTGAATGTTTTAGAATCTCCAATACCCCAGTAATCTCCAACATAAGTTACAGCTTTTCTGACCCGCTGGTTCTTGAAAAGAAGAATTCTGATTTTTGAAGATTTTTCCTATATACTTGAATCTATACTACCCGAGGATGCTTCCATATAAATGCGATCGATCATAACATTGCGTTGAATTGGCCCAGTAGTTCTGAAGAAGAAGATGAAAATGTGAAACAAATACGAGAACGATTACAACGCCGACGACGACAAACAACAGATATATTTGGTCAGAAAAGCTCAGATGAGCCAACAATGAAAATTGATAAAAATATCACGATAAATTTACCTTTGATAAGAGTTTTTTTAAATAGTTGGCGTCCCTGCAGAAGTTCTAAAATGGGACCAGGAGGCCAGAGATAGGTATGTTGAGTACCTTAAGACAGGAACACAAACAGTGCACCACGCACGGGGGATGATTGTAGGATGCGCTGGAGCGGGGAAAACCACGCTACTTAAACGTGTACTTGGTTGTAGTGAAGAAGAGATCAAGAAAGTTAAATCTACTGAGGGATTGGAGGTGCATGAGGAAATATTTGAATTATGCGATAAAACAAAATCATTAAAAGGTAAGATGCTAAGGCTTATAATTAAAATGTAATAAGTTTTACGTCATCGAAAAATATTTGAAAAAAAATATTAACCCTTTCATTTTTCTCATTAATATGAAACACAAGGAAAGGACATTGAAAAAAGTGCGAAAAAAGTGCGATCTGACGGTTAGTTAAGAATTCAAGCCATCATAGCGGTAAATATTTTTGTCTATGATCATGCGAAAAGAGTAAACTGACATAAGCATGTTTGTATAGGAAAGAAAATTTAACTTTCAGTTGACTTCTAAAACCCAATTAATTTCCAAAACTTGTTTTGAAAAAATGTATTCTGTCTTTTATATTTTAAATGTTACTATAAAACTTAAAAAAAAGATAACCGTTATAGGATCAATAGATAGTAAAGGAATGCTTCGCAAATCTACTTAAACCGAGTATTGTAATCCTTTGTCAACGATAAATGAAATATTTAATCTTGAGGAATTTGATATTGTACTTTTATTCATTTTTTTCCTTTAAATATGTAAAAGTGACATCTTTTTGTCATATTAGGCTATAGTCCGTCCGTGAATTCGATTTGTATCAGCTTTTTATCATCAAAGGAAAACAAACCATATACAATGTAGTTGACATGACAAAAATAATAAAAACAATAGAATGTTTATGATACAGTAAAGGACACATTTTTATTAGGGGTATATGATATTGATTTTTTTGTTTGCTGGCTGATGCTAAATTATTTATAAATAAACTCTTTCTGGTAATGTCACAGTTAGGAGAAGTATTTTGATTAAGATTTTCGGCTCTTTTAATTAAAAGTTCTATTAATCCGTACATTTAATTTTTATAAATAAAGAAGCCTAGAATATCCCTTTTGTTTTGATGTTGGCATTACTGTAAATATGCTTCGAATTCTAGTTACATTACATAACTAGTTTTAGTATGATTTTCATCAATATTGATATTGATTTCCAATTGTTGAAAATTAAAGTAATTTTTAATGCTGATCATCATTTAAGCTAATAATGTTTTCTAATATGTTTTCAGTAAGAACAAGACCTATGGATGACAGAAATAATGAGGAAAATGCAACAGATATTGAACGGAAGTCCCTGACTTTGTTTGACTTTGGAGGACAGTGTGCGTACTACGCCTGTCACCAAATTTACCTGACAAGGAGAGCTTTCTATGTTGTGGTGGTGGACGCCTCTAAATGTCTGGACCAGAAGGTGGATAAGTCAGTGTGTGATCAAGATGGCACTGTTTTCTCCGGATGGACGTATGGAGGTATAAATGTTTCAGGCTGAATTTTTTTTTTCTTACATTTGTTATAAACATTTTCACTTCACACATATATATGTGTGGGAGGAATCTAAGTTTTTATCATCTTCAGACCTTTTTAATGAAAGTCGTTTTCTTTACTTTGACATTTATTCTAGGCCACCTGAGTCACTCATCGGAGGAAAACTTTGTAATCTGTTTTAGTCCAAGGCTGTCCGTCGCCAATAAACAATCAGTCGTTAATGTTTGAGTTTTTTTCAGCTTCTTCTCTGGAACCGCTGAAACAATTTCAACCAATAGCATCCATGGGTTAAGGGTACCAAAAATTGTCAAATTCATTGCCCCTGTCCTCTGGGGTCAGAGGGGTGGGGCTAAAACCACCAAAATTAATGCAAACTTTAAAAATTCTTTTAAACTCCTGGACGCCAAGCAGTCAAACTTTTAAGCTCAACTGAGCTTTTCTGATCAAAATTTATCTGTTGTTTGTCGTCGTCTTTGTCATCGTCGTTCTTAACTTTTCACATTTTTGACTTCTTCTCAAGAACCACTAGGCCAATTTCAACCAAACTTGGTACATTGTATTCTTAAGTGAAAGGAATTCAAGTTTCTTCAAATTAAGGGCCATATCCTTATTCAAGGGTATATAATTCAGAAATAATGAAAAATTGATGGTATGTTTTTAAATTTTCTTCTCAAGCACAACTGTGCCAGGAAAGATGAAACTTATAGGGAAGCATCCTCAGGTAGTGTAGATTCAAGTTTGTTTGCATTATATCCCCCGGGGGTAGGGCGGGGCCACAATGGCGGATCAAAGTAACATAGAAATATAAAGAATCTTTTTCACAAGAATGGCAAAGGCATGAATGATCATATTTTTGTGGAAGCATCCTCAGGTAGTGGAGATTCAAGATTGTACAAACATGACCCGTGGGGGTAGGGTGGGGCCACAATGTAAGTTCAAATGTAAGGGGCAATAAAATAAAGCCACAGGTAGTCAAAGAAATATGCGAGCATCCTTAGTCCTGATATCAGAAAATCGATTTTTTGATATCAAAAAATGTTGTTTATTTTCTGATATCAAAAAATCTATTTTTTGATATCAGAAAATGTATTTCTTGATATCAAAAATATTTCTTTCTTTTTTGATATCAAAAAATGATTTTTTTTTATATTAAAAACTAGATTTTTTGATATCAGTAAATGATTTTTTGATATCAAAAAATCGAATTTTTGATATCAGAAAATTAACAAGGTTTTTTTATACAAAAAAATCTAATTTCGGATATCAAGAAATCGAATTTTTGATATCAAAAAATCTATTTTTTGATATCAAAAAATCTATTTTTTGATATCAAGAATTATTATTTGATATCAAAAAATATTTTTTGATATCAAGAATTCGAATTATTGATATCAATAATTTCTTTTTTGATATCATAAAATACTTCAAAAATATTAAAACGGCGCCTCATAAATTTCAGGGCCGCTGGGTCAAGGGTACCAGGGGGTACTTTGATTAAAAATAAATTAATGCATTGAAATCTGCCCTTTCATAAGCAATGGTGCCTCCTTCAAATTTGTGATTTTCATGGCTTTTGGATTAAAACACGAACCAAATACAATCGCTGAAAAGTTGTTACATGATACTCAGGTGACTTATAAGGCCCGTGGGCCTCTTGTTTTTTGTATCCTTTGTTAAGATAGAAACAATAATTTAGTTTCAAAGTATGCGGCTTGGTATTGAACTTTTGCATCTTTAGTCACGAACGACAGAGGAAAGGCTGATCTGCAAGTAAATACATTGTCTGTTTTTAGTGTACGAAGAATCGCACATGATATTCATTCTAAATGCTTTTTAACTCCGATTTCTTGTGTTTATTTACACAAATTTTCGCTACGTTTCCCTTTCACTCTGCTTATACTGACATACAGTCATGACTCATGGTTTTGGTAGGTAACCCCTGTGATAAATACAATGATCCAGAAACGACAATATTCCGTTTATATTTTGCATCGGCATATTTTATTCATTTTTTTTTAATTCATATCAATCTTAAATATCGATTTTAAAAAATATGTTATCTCTGAGGTTCATGTCATATAGCTTACTATAACGTCATATCATATAGGCAAGTACCCGGTAGAATATTTGGTTGTAAACTTAACATACCTGCGCTCTTCCAAAATTGTGAATATCATTGTCCCTGGGTTGATTTAGCGTTCTAGTGTAAGTGTTGGGATCTGATTATACATTGAATATTTAGTATTTCTTTTAAAATCTTCTCCTGAGTATTAAACAGACTAATTAGGTGATAGTTATAATGAGCAAGAATGCCTCTTCCTAGATTGTGAATGTTATGGTCCATGTATGAGGTTCTGAAGTTAGGGCGGGTCTCTATTGATTATATAGTGAAATACATTCACTCTTTCAAAAAAAATGTTCCTCTTCTGATTATTAAAAAACTAACCAATACATAGTTATGTATGTTAAATAAGACAGCCTTTTCCATAATGGAAATTTCATAGCTGCTTAGTCAGGGGGTGGGGGGGCTTTATTGATTATAATTTATTGATAATGATTATAATTTTATTTGCTCCTGGGTATACGCCGATGATAATAAACCATGTACAAAGTTATGAAGAAGGTTGCCTTTTCCAAATAAATGGATTTCATGGCCCCTGAATTAAACGTTTTGATGCTAAGATGGGGCTCTAATGATTATATAGTGAAATACATGAATTCTTTGAAAATCTCTTGCTCCTTGATTTTATGCCAATGAACTAAGTTCATCACAATGATGGAGAAAGGTGTCTCTTCCAAAATTGTTAATTTTAGGGCCCTTGGCTCAGCGATACTTGGGGATGGATAATAATTATATAGTCTAAAATGAAATTAATGCTTTGAAATCTGCTCGTTAGTACATGTATCACTCAATTACTTTTTTATGAAATATTTTTTTTAAATGTCATAATTTCCAAAATGTTGAACTATGTGGCAGTCAGTGGTTCCTGTGGGATGGGGTGTACAACTGATTATAAAGTGGAAATGCATTTATTTTCTTTTTGATACTCTGGTTTACATGTACCTCTGGGTATTACATGTAAGTAACCAAAGTATGCAGTCTAAGTGTAAAGTTATGTTTAGCTACACTGCCTCTTTTAAAACTGTGAATTTTATCCTTTAAAGCACAAACCAAATTCAATTGTTGAAAAGCTGTTATATGATACTCAGTTGACCTCTTTTTACTTTTTTTTTATCTTGTCCAGTGTAGCAATGCTATTGCAATGCCCAGTGATAGAGATATGATAATTTCGGTGTTTTCATAAGAAAAACTTCGATTTCATTATATTTGAAATGCTTTGACAAAGAATACTCACATTTGCTTCATTTAGACTACTTTATGTTCTGGATAAAGTCTATACACACCTACTGTGTTTCTGACACTGAAAAAGATCCAAAGCCCATAGTTATAATTGCAGCCACTCACTGGAAAAAAAGGAGCAGACAGTTTAAGGTGAACGTATATAATAATATAAGGCAACTTTTTTTTCATTTAAAATACATATAATGAATATTTTGGGATTTCTTTTGAGTTTTCAGTGAATTTTATTCTTTTCATTTTCATTTAACATGTTGCAAAAGAATTCTTTAAGTGATCTTTAATACATTTCTTACTCAACTTTGGCACCGATTAAATCAATATTACATGTATGAAAGAGATAAATTTGAAATTTGTGTTATTATTATTGGCATTTGATGGCTTTATATTTTATTATGTAGGCTTGTTAATCGATTTAGTTTACTCCATGTTGATCACAAGTAAACATGAAAATCAATGTCCCTGGTAACGTTTTTGAAAGACTTAAATTGATTTAGCAGTATTCTTCTAACATAAAAATAGAGGAATAGCATTAATAATGTTTTAACAGAAAGTAAAAGGAGTCAAATTACATGTTCTACTTGTAAACTAATAGAAAGAAATATTTTATTAATGCAGGATAAAAAGAAAATGATGAAGAGCCTGCAGTGTCAGTTACCAAAGTCATCTCGTTTATCACAGTATATCGGAGAGGATAACATTTACTGTGTAGATTTTACGTTACCTCTCCATGATTTGGAAACTTGCTTCTTTAACATAGCTTCCAATCAACAATGGAGAGAAAAAATTCCGAAAGAGTGGTGTTCTTTTGGGAAAGAAATCTATCGGAACAAACGTTCAAAGAAAATCCTAAAGATCTAAAAAATAATGCAAGTACCAGGGATTACAAGTAAAGAACAGAAAGGCCCCGCTAAAGTTGAAAAGGGACAGGAAAACCTAGATATGCTACGATATGATCACGATGCTGGGAAAGCTTTATATTTTAATGAAAACGGTCTGAAGGAAGAAATAATCATTGACGTACAATGGTTTATTGACGCTTTCAAACATATCATAACAGACGAGCTACATTTCAAAGGAATTCCTGTGACTCAGATAGATTGGAATGAGTATTATAATACTGGAAGATTGCGAGACGGACTTCTGTTAGTGATCTGGAAACATAAAGACGAAGAATTGTTTGATTACTTAAAGAAAGATACGAACTACCGTATTAGAGACGCGTCTTTTGAGAAAGATGAACTATATTTACAATATCATAAAAAATCACTTCTCAATTTTATGCAGAGACTTGGATTACTGGCTGCTGGTGGAGAATCCCACTATGTTCCGTGCATGAATCGTAAAGAAATAGAAAAAGAACTTCTAAATTTCATCAAGGAATCGGAGAGTAAATCATCTGTCCTTATTTACCAATTTGAATTTTTGCCATTTTTCCTGTTTTACCGTCTTGTTGTTGCCTGTATGCAAGAAGATGGTTGGAATGTTCTAGGAAATCAAGGAACATCTTGCCTCTACAAAAATGCTGCTTTGTTTTCGTATGTGGAATATAACATTGTTTTATCGGTCACAGAAGAATCCATACAACTTCAAGTATTTTGTCCGATACAAGGAAATGTTTTGGAAACAGAAAAAACATTTTTGATTCAAGAAAGAATAGAAGAGATGTTAAATGCTTTAGCAGGAACATTTCATAGAAAGATACGGTATGTAAGAGGCTTTAGATGTCAAATGGACAAAGAAGAAGCGATTGCTATCGATATAAAGGAGCATTTCTTATCTGCAAAAGACATTCCAAATAGAGTCCTTCAAATAATGTGTCCTTTGCATTCGATTAATGATAGGCATATCATTGATACCACTGAACTTACCAGATATTGGAAATTGTAGAGAAAGACATCGCCCAATTGTAACAAATTGAAAGAATTCCAAACGTTGCATTTTCGAATACTTCATAAAATTATGGTCTTCGTATACATGTTTTTCCCGTTTTGTCTAAGGTTCGAAAAACTTTTTGAATGCTTTTATATTTGATTGTCTTGCATGTTTTGCTCACTCATTTGAGAATGAAATTTTGCTTAGAATGTGCATCTTTATGTATATTGGCATTCAGTGTTTTGGTATATCATTAGCAGTTTAATCTCCAATTACTCATCACTAAGAATCCGTACAATTACATGAACTGTGTTTTTTATATTTTAAGTCTTCTAGATTAGCGCAATATGTTTACCGATGTATTTTGGATTATTTGTTATTCTTACTTACTATTTTACTATTGTACAGAGTGTACTTTCATTATGCTAAAATCTACATATTTATACAATGTGTAAATTCGGTACTGATAAAAGTGATATGTACCAAAAAAAACGAGATTTTTTATACAAATAAACTAGGAATGCCTGCAGCAAAGTTATTGCTCATTTCTCTAATAACAACGAACCTTTGTAGAAAGGGTCGTGTCTATAATCTAAATATTCTGATTTCATTTGCAGTGGTTAGAGCATCTGCTCTATAGAATAACGAATTAAGTAGTTGGTCCTTACGTTGCAGGTTTGAATCCCGTTGTTGGACGTGGAGACCGGTCCATCGGATGAGGTCCCGTGTAACAGTAGAGGCTGGCAAGAAAAAGACCCCTCTTTGCTCCAGAGCCCTGCGTGCCGAGCATATGGCAATATTTCCAGCTCTCCACTGGAAGTGGTGGCGTCTCCATATGTGTAAAACATTCTCGAGTGGGACCTTTAACGACATACAATCAATTAATCAATATCGTAATTTCTATAAATAAAATAAATGCGCAACTAGGTTAAGGACTACCCAAAGGTAGATCAGTGTATGCAGAGCCTCAGGAATGCGATTATGACGTCACAGTGAAATTATACAAATGAATCTCGGCGAATAAATAATAATTTCCTTTTTCATATACTCTTACATACTTTCATTACTCATAATTATTGTAAATATAAATCAATGTGTAACTTAGCTTGTCATTATAACACTATTAAGTATTTGAATGTAAAATCAAAGCCAACTTGATCTCGCTGTACTAACAGATATGACGTTATAGGCTAGTTTGACACGCAGTTTCCCTGTACTTGAGAGGCAGATCAAGCTATTTAGTGGAACTGAAAATATGAAAATTAAAACTAAATAAGCGTGATCTGATTAAAATTGATTCATATTTTTTAATGTATTAATCAATAGTTCACAGTCTTTTTTAATTGATAACTATTGGGTGTCTTATAAAGCCGCAGTCATGCTTTTTATATTAGGAACGTACTACAATCACAGGTAATACCCCTCCAAAATTTCAAAAGTTCAACGATATCCGCTTGATTATAAATTATGATATTTTATACACATGTAGCTATTGTACCTACTATTTTGAAAAGTGCTGGGAGCAAATGTGCGCTGTTGATTTTTTCCGTAATTTTACATTTCTTCAATGCATATAGTGTAAATGCACATAGTTTATCAAAAGTCGGCTAAATTTTATATAATTCCTTGGCATCGAGAAGTTGCTCCCAGCACTTTTCGGGTTAAGAAATTTGTTTTAAAGAAAACGCAATTAATTTCATAGTGAAAAATTATCCGTATATCCTTGAACTTTTACGATCTTTGCATCCCGACATATTTTTTCTAATTTTAATCATGTCACGTGACAAACAGCTGATGTACGTGAAGAAGCTTTGGCCAAGCTCGGTTGAGACCCCATACATACATATACATTAGTATAATTGTCAATGAATTAAAACTCATGCTAATAAAAAAAAATATCAACATTATATAAATTTGTTCGGAATATTTTAAGCATATTTCCTATGGGCGGCCTTAACCTAGCTGCGTGCTTTTGCTTTTGATAAATACTGGTTAAATAGCAAAAATATACAATGTGATCATGGTAGGCAGATCAGCTGGCATTTTAAAATCAAAAAAATTACAACAATTCCTTTGACGTAATTAGCATAATGCATTTATATATGTTTAGTATATTTAAAATAATAAAGAAGGTAATGTTTTGGTTTTCTTTTGTCCTAAACATTCAAACATTTCAGAAACTGACATTAGTTGACGGTATGATTATGAATAAAATGAATGAAAGAATGCGGTATGAAGAAAGACCATATTTATAATATGAGACGTAATAAATTAATTAATATTGATAAATTTTCTATTTCAAACAGAAAAAGGTCCAAAAATGACCCAAGAAACAGTGTCCACAACCTTTGTTTAGTTTTAATTCAGATATCGTATATATAAATACAAGGGTAAATTCATTGAAACTAGGATTTCCCCAAATCTTTGTCAGATGATACATGTTGTCTGTATTATTTGAAAGAAATTTCACTACAAATATATATGTGGTAAAATACCTAGTTTCCACAATTAGAATAAGGTAATAAGGAGAAAATGTGAAAAATGATTTGTATTATCTTATTGCATGGTTTTCAATGACTTAAACAGAACGAATTTTATTTTTACTTCACTGAAAACATACTGAAAACGTGTATGGCTTTTATGTTTTTGTTTTTGATTGTTCTACAGTTTAAGGTTAATAAACACTCTGCTCACTCACATAAAAAAGCTTCTTTGCGGTTCTACAAAGGAAATATAAATGCTATGTAAAAAAAAAAATAATAATTCTAGCATGGCTTGCGGGAAATACTGGACAAAAAAAGACACTTCAACTTGACATTTTTATAGGGATAATAGACATTTATGTCATTAAGAGTAATCTCTCTTATCAGAGTATCAATGTACCTTTAGATTAAAATATAAAGATTAAACTAAATTATCTTAAATTTTATGATAAATTTAAATAGATGGATATTGAGATAACAAACAGTATTCAATCTCAATGTCCATTAAACAATATACAAAATAAGAGCAGAGCAAACACGGACCTCCGAAGCATCAGATTTGGGATCAGGTGCCATGGAGGAGTGAACATCCCCTGCCGACCAGTCACACCCGCCGTGTGCTTGTTGTCATGATCAGGAGATAACAGGAAAAAATCCGTTGTCAATTCAGTGTATAAATAATGGACTAACAATTGGTATGAAGAACGTCAGTCAGCATTTGACTCAATGATAAATTGTATTTGCTGACAAGGTCATTGTATCGACCATAGAACTTACGAAATGATGCCTTTAAGCGAGACTGCTGATATTCTTGTTTCATCAACCTGCTTGTCAATAATTTATCTCGTTTAAGAAATTGTCCATACGTAAAGCATGCTCTTGCGTATCGAATCAACTGAGAGATATATACTCCGTATGAAGGTGATGAAGGTATATTGCTGCATAAGTAAGGAAAGTTGACGATAAATAATAGTAAATCTCTATAAAACTCCTTTTAATCTGTAATCTGAGGATGCATTGTGCTACAGTAACGAACATCTGTATATCAAAAAATATTATGTTGTAAATTAAAGGAAAATAATGTTTATAAGTGTGCAAAAAATAAAATGTTTTGTCTCCAATAACACATTGATTTCATATAGAGTCAAACATGGTTGGACAAACATGGAATTTTAAGAAGTGATATGAGATAGTTATACTGATATCAGCAGAATAAAACCTCACACAGTGTTTCTTAAACCTTGTAATGAAATAAATGAAAAGAGTGGCTAACTTTATGTTGCACTCAAGCGAAGTTGGACAGAACTTCAACGACTATATGACAATATGACTATAAAGTGATATTCTCTGTAAAAATGGAGCAATAAAATTTTATCACAATCGGCAACATCAGAACTTACAACTTTGCAACTTTATATATAACTATTCCATGCGATAATTCACGTCCAGACTTTTTGACATTACTGAGAGCTGCTCTTTTTCAAGGAAAATAGAACTCGTAAATTCAATGGTCTTGTCATTAGTTATTTGCAAAATTGTTAAAATGTTCCGATGGTTCACACATATACCTGGAAGTTGATATGAAATGGATACTTGAGTCTCAGATAGACAATACCAGACATCTTCCAACAATCTTCTGGAATTTCAATCGTAACCAATTGCACTCCGCTGTGAGCAGAGCTATTTTTGTATTCATGTTAAGCAGAATCTGTTCAAATCTGAAAGGAAGAAAAGCTGACCATGGCCTTCAACTCAGCAATAAGATATATCGACGACGTATTATGAATTAACAATGGTGGTTTACATTCATATGTCGACATGATATATCCTAGTAAACTTGAAATTAAAGATATGACAGAGTCTGACGAATCTGTTGCATACTTGGATCTTTTAATAGAAAAAGACGTTATTACATATCTAACAACAAATGTTTATGATAAAGTTGATTACTATGGTTTTTTTTATCGTCAACTCCCCTTCCTTATGCAGCAATATATATCTTTGTCATCGTTAAGTCACATAGAGCATTTTCTACATACAATTTCTAAAACGATGTAAGTTATTGACAAAGAAATCGATGACGCAAGAATATCAGTAGCCTCGTTTAAAGTCATCACGTCGGTGATTGATTTTGTCAGCAAATGCAATTCATCATTATGTCACATGCTGAGCGACTTTTTTCATACTGAGTTGTTTAGGGATTTATGACAAGGAGAACATGACGGGTGTGCCAGGTCGCCAGGGAAAGCTTTCTCCTTCATGGAACCCGAAACTACCTCTGATGTTTTGGAGGTCCATGTTTACTCAGCTCTTTTCTGTAGTGTTTTATTGACTTTTTATCTAGAATACTGTTTTTTCCCCATATATTTCATTCTTCAACTGTTATTTCCTGAACCAATAATTATAAAGTTGAATGGACTTTGAGATCGCATACTGTTCATCATCTGCACATATTTCATTGGTTAAAAACTGGGGAAAAACCGAACTGTGATCAAAAGGGACTTGTGACAAAATAATACTTGACTCAGTCGTACTCGAGCAACAAACGGCTGTAAAGTGGAACATATATCTTGGACATTCCTTTGCAGTAGCAGATAATAATTTGTAAAAGGTTTTTGAAGACAGAAGACTTGACAAAGGTTAAACATTTGATTCGTTTAATACAGCTACATTACAATGTAACATAATGGAATAGATCTACTCTAGATCAAAGAAAACAAAATTAAATTAAGAAAACAACATCTATATCAACTATTTCTATTACTTGTTTTTAATAACTTAAGTTTAAGGTATTTCTGCATCTTATTTTCTCTTTAACAACTAGCCAAAATCCGGAAAGACCAGAATTTAATATTTCAAGGATGGGGAAAAAAACGGCAAATGTTTAACCCCTTCACTTCCGTACCAGTCAAATTGACCGGTTGCGCTTTAAAACACGACTTCGCGAAAATAAGATCTCCGTATCTATTTTATGGTAGCATGATGGTATATAAACTATTTATCATCTTTTTGGAAATGTTCTCTACTTTTAAAATATCTAAAAAGATTATGTCTTGATTGCCGGTATTTAATCGATTTTACGTTGTGAAGACAAAGGTGACTTTTTGAAAATGGCGTAATTTTCCAAAGCAATTGCCAATTTTCCAGACGATTGACATTTTTTTCCTGATCAACCTTAGAAAAAAAGTGTGGTATATTCTTAAAGCATATTTTTTCTGCTTTTTAAATATGTAAAAATTATTGTTGTTACTTTAAAGTATATTTTATAAACAAGAATTTTCTTGCAATTATGTGTTTTTTTCTCGATTTTATTCGTAATGTTTAAACAAAGCTCAGTTTTGCGTTTATTTCTGTGTTGAAATAGGGAAAACAAAATAAAGCTGGTAAAAGTAGAGAAAATTTCCTTTCCAACACGCCCTTACAGGCCTTC